CTCTCTCTTTTTTTCTCTCTTCGCTCCAAAAAAATAAAAGAGAAATGCGCGCAGCTCCGCTCGGCCAAAACGCGTTGTTTTTACCGTCTGCCCTCCGGCGGGGTATAGAGGTCCGTTTAGTTTGGTTTAAGGCTTTTTTTTTTTTTTTTTTTTTGGGTTTCCCTCCCCCTCTTTTGGTCCTAAATCCCCAAATCCGGGGAGGAAGGGAAAGCAAAAAAAAAAAAAAAAAAAAAAAAAAAAAAAAAAGTGAAACGGAAAAGCGAAGCAAAGCAACGCGCAGGAGTTGATGTCCAAAGTTCCCCCAGTCATTCAACCCGCAGCGCAGCGCTGTGTCCCGCCTGGTGCATCCCTGTCCCCTCCTCGCTTCTCCTCCCACACCGAAAATAAACCCGATCAGGGGATGGCTGCCGGAGTTTCACCCCCCTGCGGCACGACTTTGGGGGGGCTATCGTGTTTTCTTTTAATTATTTATGTATATCTATATCTACATATATGTATATTTACCTTGCAGTTTTATGAATGAAAGCGCCCGGCTGAGCTGGGAATACCATCCCCAGCCTTGAAACAGCGATGCTGGTGACATCCACGGGGGGTGCGAGGTGCCGGGGATATGAGGGGGGGGGGAAAGCGGGGATGCGATGCGCTGTGGGTTCCACTGGGGCTCCTCCTTGCGGGGCACGGAACGAGGATTGCGCTTCCGTGAGAGTGAGAAAACGGGAAAAAATTCAAACAGTAAAGATACAGAGATGTATTGAAAAAGATTTTAGAACATCTCGCGGAGGGAAAGTCTTTTTTTTCTCTTTTTTGGCCGCGAGAAAAAAAGTATATTCTAAAATGAAGTACCTAGTGGCGGTAGGAGGCCCCCCCGGTCGTCAGCCTCGCGCTTTCACGCCGTGCTCAATCGGCTTTTTGAAACTGCAGATCCTCTGAGGCAGAGAGGGGAGAGAGGAGCGAAAAAATCCCGTTTTGTAACTGAAACACACCGCGACCCGGAGGGCTGGAGAATAAACCTATTGTGGAGGCGAAACGCGCGGCGATACACCAGCAAAAAAAAAAAAAAGAAAAAAAAAAGAAAAAGGAAAAAAAGAAAAGAAAAAAAAAATCCCCCAGAGCACCGCTGTTTGCGAAAAGGTAATTGAGGAGGGAAAATATTGCCAAGTTTTCGCTATTTTTTTTTCCCCGTAACTTTCTGCTCTGAGAGCTGTTCGTGTGGCCGAAAGAGAAGAAAAAGGAGAAGAAGGAAAAAAAAAAAAGGCTTTTTTTTTTTCTCTCTCTCTCTTTCCAAACCCCTCCGAAACCCAAAAGATAAAATTACTGGATCTAAAAATAAAGCCGTGGTTTAAAGCCTCCCCCACCCTCTCCGATCTCCCACCCCTTCCACCCCTCTCTCGCCTTTCTCCCTCCCTCCCTCCCTCTCTGCCTCTTTCTGTGTGTTTGCGTTTGACAAAGAAATTATTTGAACTTCCCACTGCCTCATAAAAAGGAAACAGAAGAGAGCGGCTTTGACATATGGATGTGATTTTTCTGCTCTGAGACAGATGCACGCGGAAAACAACCAGCACCGGGGGCTGAGGAGCTGAGCGAAGCCGAAGTCGCTCCGCTTCTTCACATGGGTTCCTCCGTTGCCTTTCGGGAGCTGCCCGCATCTCCAGCCATGAGAAAGCGAAGCAAAGGACCGGGTTTTCTCGTCATGTGCCTTTCTGGCTAAAAAACAAACAAACAAAAACAAACAAACAAACAAACACCGGTTCTGGAGAGTGAGGAGGGGGGGAGTTGGAGGGAGGGAAGGAGAAATCATCTGCGAGAGGAGCGCTGGAAGACCTCTCCGTCCTCCAACTTCCCCGAGAGAGCGTGGATGCTGGAAGGAGCCCCTTGGATATGGGATCATATCTGGTTTATCACAGCCTGGGTTTGATCCTCTGCTGCTCCGTGCTGAGCTCGGTCTACGCTCTGGTGAGTGTCTCCGATCCTTCTTTTCTCGGCTGTTTCCTTGATGAGTAAAACCGTTTTGCTTTTGGGGGATTTGAGGAAGCAGTGAGCCGCTTTTGCAGCCCCGGTGGCTGATCTCGCTGCTCTCCGAGTTGCTGCACCAGATGAAATTAAAAATGTCTGTGCTTCCCGGAGAGTTTGAATCACTTTTCAGTCCCTCCGGACGGGAGCGCGTGTAGTTTGACAGGGAGCTGCTCCGGGAAAGGCGTTTTGGGGGATCACTCAAAAGACACCTCCCAGGAAAGGGCGATTTTTCCTTTTTTTTTCCTTCCTTCCTTCCTCTCTCTCTCTCTCTCAAAAAAAAAAAAGAAAAAAAAAAAAGGACATTTAATTTTCATTTCATTACATTACCATTTAATCTTCCTAATTTGCAAATCTGCTTAATCTCTGCAAAACAGTGCCTTGCTTTCCGAGATTGATTTTGGAGAGCGTGGGGACTGCAGACAGTTTACACACAGGAACGTGAAAGTAGTATTAACCCTTTGCTCCCTGGCACTATTTTCACCTGCTCCTGCACACACCAAGGGAGAAAACCTTTACAGAGGTGACAAAAAAAGAGCTAAAGGCTGCCCAAGCTGCCTTGATGGTGGTGATGGTCAATGGGTTGAGATCCACAGACAATCCCTCACCAAAGTCCTGCCACAGAAATCGGCCACCAGGTATTAACTCATTGCTGGGTGTGCTGCTTTGACACGTGCTTTGCTTCCTTTCTCCATCCCTGATGGAGTGGTGATGGGTGGCATCACCATGATGGAGTGGTGATGCCACCCATCACCATGGCTTGGTCAGTTCTTGGTGTAGGAAGTGGCACAGCCACCACCTGACCACCAGACACCACTCAACGCGGTGTCTGCTCTCCAGGAGGGATGGAGATCATAGAAATCATAGAATTATTAAGGATGGAAACGACCTCTCAGATCATTTAGTCCAACTGAGGTGTGTTGGGAAAGGGGCTGACCCCAGTGCTGATTCTGTTCAGGTTCTCTCCAATGGGCTGGCTGTCACATTCTTTTGGGTTTGGTAGGAACTCATGCAGGGTGGGTGAGGAGGTATTTCCCCATTTCCAGCATCGTGCTGGGAGGAAAAGTCAATACATAAGATGAGACTTTTCCCTTGGAAAACAGTGTCTGTCACAGTCCATCTTGATCTAACTAATCATGACTCAAAGGCCAAAGAAAACTGGGGGGTGCTGAGGGGCAGAAAGTATAGGTTCAGTGAGGTTTTAATGACATCTGAGGTTCATCCCACGTTCTTGGGTTGGGTTAGCATCTCCATCACCTGCAGCTGTGTCAGGACAGGCTCTGTGGGTTCTGTAACACCTGCTGTCCCCATATATAGCCATAACGCTGCAGGAGTCAGCATCAAAACTCCCTTTAGGGCCAATGTTCTTGAAACAGCTCCATTAGAGCTGAGCAAACTTCAGTATCCAGAAAAGATAGGCAAGCACTGCCAGCCCACCTTTACTCCCAGTCCCATTTTGGTCCCTGTCCCAGTACATCCCAGTACCACCAGAAGACACAAGGAAGCAGCCAGTGAGCCATGTCTCAGTGTCTGGTATCTCCTGTAGCTGTTTTATTTGTCGTAGTAGACATCAGAACAAATTGTTTTAGATGAGGATCTCCATGCCATGGAAATACATCAGGAATTGCTCCACCAGAAGCCCCATTCAGTGTAATAAGGACCAGGCTGAAATATTTCAGATGCTGATTTTCAAGCCCACCTGTGACAGCTTACCCAAAGATTTGAAAAATCACTCTGAAAATTCAGGAGCTGCAGAGTTAACCTGGGAAAAAAATACTGAGGGTAGCTGCAGAATGATAGGGATGAAAGGACTTAATTTAGAGATAGACTGCGTGACAGCTTTGGACTGGGCTAAGAGCAGTACCCAGTCCTCCAGCAAAGAGTCAGGAGGATTCCCACAGAATGATGCAGTGAGTTCTTGGAACTTCAGGGCATGATTTATCTGTCTGGGGCAGGAGGATGTGAGGTTGGAAGACATGGGACTGCAGGATATGAGATTGGAGGACATGGGACTGGAGGGCATGAGGTTGGAAGTTGTGGAACTGGAGGACGTGAGTATGGAGAGCTGTGGTTGTTGGGCTCTTTGTTGGTCAATCCTTTGCATCCCAGAGCTGGTGAAGCCCAAAGCCCTGTGCTTCCTACATCTGAAGCTGTCATTCCCTTTGATCAGTAAGCAAAAGTGGCAAAAAACAAAAAGTGGCAAAGGGATGGGGAATGATGTTTTTGATGGTCTGAGCTGGTGCTGCGCGTGTATTCCCACATTAAGTCTAAGCATGGGGGGAATTCAAGCACATTTTAAATTGCAGTGGGAGTGGGTCCCATTGCAAAAGGAGCGGGTGATGCTCTGCTCTCCTCCAGACCCCCCAGCAATCTGGGGAAGCCCTCCTCCTTGCCTTTCCCTGGGAATATTCCTAATTAACACCTGCTTAAGCATTGGCAGAAATCAGTTTCTCGATTGAGTGCTTTACACTCCAGTCTGGCAAGAAGAGGGGTGACATTTGGGTCCATTTTTCTATTTGCTGAGACCAGCCTGAGTCAGACAACCCTGCAGATGCGGGCTTGAAAAGATGATGCATGCAAAAGGAGCTTTAAAAGTAGGTCGAACACCAGCACGAGAGGAGAAGTTCAGGTTTTTATCAGGAAAGCACTGCCAGAACTGCTTGCAGGAAAACCTCCCCGTGTCCCTCCTCCAGCTGATACCCCCATGGTTTGCTCTGCTGAGCTGTTCAGTTCTCAGTTTCATCTTCAGGTTGAGCCTGCTTATCTCTGTCAGAGATACTCAGCAGAATAGTTTAAATATATACATAAAAATAAAGCCATACCCTGCTCAGATGCTGCTGCGGGATTTGGGTTGGAATAACTCAGTTTTGGGAAATGGGGAACAGCCTGAGCCAAGTGCATGGTTGGGAAAAGTGGGTGCAGGTGTGGGTGGAAAAAAGGCATCAAGCGTTGCCTTTCTGCCATGCCCCAGTGCCTCTCAGGAGGTGCTGCTTTTCTGGAGATTGTGCTTGGCCAGCAGAATGGGCTCAAGCCCTGCCTGTTGGTTCCCCAGCCCTGGCCCCTCTGCTTGGGCACTGCTGAAGTTTGTCTTTTCAGAGAAGCTGGGATGCTCCCCTGAAAGTTCAGGGGGTGTCAGCCCTGTTCTTGTGGGAATGAGCCAAAATGGGGACAAGCTTGACCAGGTCATTGTCAGTACAGTGGGATTAGATGATCTTAGATGTCTTTTCCAACCTTCATGATTCTGTGGTTCAGGAGGGCCTCAGCCCTCACTCCCAAGGGTGTCTGCACCAGTGCTGATGTTGCTCTCCAGCAGGAAGGTCTGGTAGGAATAAGAAGAGTTGTTCTGCTTCACCCTGGAGGAGCAGCAAGTAGCAGAGATCCCAAAGCTCTGCAGCAAAGCCATTGGGGCCAACAGTAAAAAGAATAATCATCAAATAATCCTACACAGAGATCCTGCAAATCCCGACTACTGTCTGAGTTCATTAAGTAATGACAACCTCCAAGTGCAAGGAAACAATGTCTGAAATGTTCTTTTTCTCCACTTGAGCTTGGGAATGTGCCCATCCCTGCCCCGTGTATTTATGAAAGATATGGTTTTTGTTATTGTACTTTGGGATTAGCAGATATCCTTGGACTATAAAACACCCGACCGCAAAATATAAAGCAAACAGGGCTCTGCATCAGGGCAATACATGGGCTGTGATTTCACCCTGCAGAAGCCTAAAGTGCTCAGTGGCAAATCTGTCCTGAGCAGGCTGGGTTTGGTGCAGAGGGAACAGGGAATGCAAATATGCACGCAGAGGGTCAAGGCTCGAGGATACGAAACCTGAGGTGTGCCTTTTAGGTCCAAGCAGTTGTTGTTTGGTTTCTGACCTCCTAGAAATAGCACCAAAGCACTGCTTTGGGATCAGTGGGGTTATCCCTGGGAGAGCAGTGTGTCTGCAGTCCCAGCCAGGGGTAACCCAGTTCAGACAGCTCAAGCAGGGACAGCTGTTGTCTCCATCACCAGACCACCAAGCAGCCCCTGTGCTCCCACGTCCACATGCAAAATGAAGCTGAGATCCCTACCCTGACAGCAGGAGTCGTCTCACATCTTTACATCCATTGACTTGGCATCCGTTCTCTCCCTGGAGAAGAGAGGCTCTGGGGAGACCTGAGGGCAGCCTTTCAGTATCTAAAGGGGCTGTAAGAAAGAAGGAGACAGTCTCTTTAGCAGGGTCTGTTGTAACAGGACAAGGGAAAATGGTTTCAAGCCAAAAGAGGGGAGATTTAGACTGGATTTAAGGAAAAAGCTTTTTTACAGTAAGGACAGTGAAGCACTGGAAGTATTGCCCAGAGAGGTGATGGATGCTCCATTCCTGCAGTCACTCAGGGTCAGGCTGGATGGGGCTCTGAGCACCTGATGGAGCTGTGGGTGTTCCTGTTCATTGCAGAGGAATTGAACCAGGTGGCTTCTAAAGGCCACTTCCAACTAAAACAATTGTATGATTCTGTAAATCCATTCCTGGGCACACCAATAAGGGACCGTAGGTGGAAGATGCTGGCTGGAGGCTTTGACCCCATAGGGATGTGCTTGGGAATTCACTGCTCAGCCACCTGATGAAAAGCAGTTAAAATCAGTCCCTGATTTGCAGATATGTGGTACATAGACATACACACATCTTGCCTTGGTTTCTCAGGAGTTTTGCTTCCACTGATCCAAACCCTGCCTGGGAAGTGGTCCTCAGGTCCTCATCACTGCCAAGCAGCTCCATCCTCACCCCCCACTGCTGCGAGATGCTGATGATGTTCAGTGCATACTTACATGCTGATGGGATGGCTTTGCTGTTCAATCCCACTGGGCTCATCACAGACTTTTGGGCCCTGATTCCTCCCAGTTCTCTTGCTGTTGACCAAAGTGAAGACCTCAACACGCTCAGCCAGTGTTAAAGACACCTTGGCCT